TCCCTGGGCATTCACACTGATGTGCCTCCATCCCTGGGCATTCACACCAGTGCTAATGCTTCATTTGAGAGGGTTTTGTTGCCTGTTTATAATTTTTAGACTTCCAAAAGTACTGAAAAAAATCATTAACCACTGCTCTGGGCTTGTGTTTTGTTTTTGTTTCTGTTCTCTCTTAGCCTCTGAACAAATTCAATGCATATGCTATAAGTTTTGTTGTTGTTTTTAAAGGGGATCTCATGATTCATTTTCCCTAAAATAAATATATACATTTAAAACCTGTTTGTCTTGAAATAAAGCCTGAGAATGTTACTTTTGAAATTTCAGGTTTATTTGTATAGGTTAGTTGGGGGGAAATGTTCTTTAAATTTTAATAATTAAAATACAAATTAACTAACTATATCAGGAAATAAATAGGAGAAAATACCTTTTGATTTATTGGTTTTACAGTCTGTATAGAAATTCCAGAATTATATATACAAACATCTATATGTATGAACATAAATGGCAATTTCCCTTTAAAAATAATTTTTAAGTAAGTATCCAAGTATTACTATTTCCCCCCAAACCCCCATGAATTCTGTCATAAAAATGACACAAAATTTATCTGAAAAATCATTAACTCCAATAAAACATGGTCAGCGTGCTGTTAATAAATAAATAATACCTTTCTTAAAACTATACAAATAATTAAAATATGTATCAGTAATAATAAATGAAGTTTCCCATTTTTTTATTTGACAAAGACGTACATGTTCACCAGCAGGTGAGAACCCTTTTCTGCTCAGGATAAGGAAGAGACAACGGCAGAATTGATCTACAGATATCATTTGGTTAAATGTCAACTAGGACTTCTTTCTCTGCCCACCAAGGTTTGGTCAGACAAGCTGTAGAAGCAGCAGGCAAAGCTGTTACAAGCCAGCCTTTTTCAAATTTAGAGGAAAATAATTATGTAGATTTTAATGCTCTTTTTCAAATTAAGTAACAGAAAATAAGTATAATAAATGGATAGATAGTAAGACTATTATTTCTCCAAATGTAATGCCCAGCGGCAGTCAGCAGTCTTGAGTTTCCTGACAGTAGATGGCAGCTGTACAAACAGCCAAGCTTGCCGATTCTTCTAAGGCGCGCTCAGCAGCCTGGGCGGAGCGCTTACTCTTCTGACCTCCTACTCTATCCCTTACAAGCTGAGTTTTCAAAAGTTATCTTATCACAAACTGCAGGTGCTATTAAATACTAATTCCAGTACTCCACCCCAGAGCCCTGACTCAGAGATGGAAGGAAGCCAGGAAACTGGTGTTTTTAAAGTGCACATTCTGTGACACCGCCATTCACCATTCACCGTCACTTAATATCTCCCAGGTTTTTGCCAAAGAAAGTTTTAAAGAACAAGATATATGACTTGAGATTCTTCCCTGAAAACACCTAGGAAATCTTGGAGACCCGAAAGCAATGCCTCAACGCCAATATCAACCTTTTGTGCCGATTGTGAATGAGACCTAAGGAGAAACACCTACACTAACAGGAGTGTATGCCTGATGCCCCGCCCCCTTCCCAGACTTTCTCCCTTTCCTTCAACACGCACCTGAGCTCTTCTCGAACTTCCACAGCCGTGTTCCCCGTTATCACAAACAAAGCATCCATGGCATCTGTCAGCACATTGCAGGCATACCCGATATTGATGGCAGTTTCTGGTACAAGGAAAGATTACCTCTATTAATGTGTTACCTTTTCCATATCACTTTGGAGCTGTGGCTGCGTTTCCCCAGAGCCTCTATCAGCTCCATGGATGTTAGTGAACAGACAAAGCATCATATGATACAGCTGACCAGGAGAGAAGCCCAAGACCTGAGCCCCATAACCAAACTCGCCATTCACTGAGCCTCTGGGGGAAGTGGGCACATCTATGAATCCATGGAGTTTCATGTGATTTTCAAAACTACCTCTAGATTCTCAAACCAATACTCATTTAGATATCTTAAGGTCTTGTGGTACAAGGAAGAGAAAATATAAAACAAACCTTTTACCAGAAACCTCAGTTAGCTTCATTAGCATGCCAAAATACTAAACTTGGCTAGTCTTCAAATCTAATACGATAGACTAATAATCTAAGGCAAATACATGAAACCTTTTATAGTTTTCCCGCTTAATGAAAAAAATTGGAATTTAATAATCAGTTCAAGAACCACCCAGAACCATCCTGCCAGAGACCTGGAGGATTATACCATACTCAGCAATTTCTGCTTAAATATAATAGTCATTTGATTCTAACACTATGGAATCATGAAATGCTCGTTAGTTCTACAGAATTGTTGCTCTTGTCCCAAATCAAAACAGAAAAATAATGAGATCTCAATCTATCTTTTGTATAAAGCAAAGAAATTAGATAAATAATGGTAAATTCATAAGTACTTGCAATAACTGAATAGCTGAGCCCACAACACACGTCAGCTGTCGTAAATCTCATGTATCCACAGAGTACCACAGGCTTCAACTTCCTGCTGTTTAATTTTGTAATTAATAATTTAGGTAGAAAAACAGAAGTGGTAGGTAGGCCTGGTGGCCCAGGCAGGGAGGACCCAAAGTTCAAGGTCTGCCTCTGTGAAGGGTTTGAAGCCAGCCTGGGCAATTTAGTTAGAACTTGTCTCAAAACAAAAGTTAAGGAAGGATGGAGTATACAGCTGAGTAGAAGACTGCTTGCTCAGCATGTGTGAGACCCTCGGTTAAATCTGTAAAACTACAAAGAGACAGGCAGATGGCTAGACAGGTAGATAATGAGAATTTAGGCAAGTATATATAGTTATATAGAAAATTGATTTATCTCATCTGCAAACCTCTAAATGCTGTATAGGGTACCTAACAAAAATGAATATAGTTTTTAAAGTACATGCTGGTTAGCTGAATATTTTCTGTTTCCTAATGACTGAGCACAAAATGTTAAGCTTTCATTAGCAACAGATTAAAATCTTATTAAACAATTCTTTTTTTTCTTAAGAAAAAAAAAGACTCATTTAGTGTCTGGTCATTCCTAAAAGAGATTTGGTTCTCACAGGCAATCCTGGGATTCAGCCAGGTCCACTGGTACAGCTGTAGCAGTTGTTCAACTACAGTAACATGTCCATAAGCAGCTGCGAAGCAGCTGGTACCCTTAGCCTCTCGGAAGCTTACTGGACATCCTGAGACCTTCCAGCTCTCACACAGCAACCTGCCATCAAGAAACTAGTGAGTACAAGGCCTCCAGGGATGGCAACCGGACCAGAGAATATACTTATACAAGGTATTTTTGTTAGTTGGGGTTTTTTTTGCATTTTTGTATTAAATTATTTTATTTATTATTTTTGTTAGTTTTGAATTTAAATTTTGGTTAGTTTTTAAATAATAAGTTCATATTTTTTTAAAGTTTTTTTTCTTTACATTTTGCCTTTTCCTAAATGGAAGACTAGGAAAATGATAAACTGCTTTAAGTTTTTGGTTAACATTTTATTCAAAGAATTAATTCCCCTACTTCAAACATCATTGTCACCTATTTCCAAATTACCTTGTTTGTCCCCTGTTAGAATCCAGATCTTAATATTGGCTAGTGACAGACTTGAGACTGTTTCAGTAACACCTTCTTGTAATTTATCTTCTACAGCGGTGGCACCTAATAGCTTCAGTGGAGAGTAAAGAATAACTTGCATTAATACACACAAGGAACACATGTAACATCTGTAGTTTCAATCAGAGTTTAAAAGTCAAAGAACAACAGATGAAGAAAGCTTATAAAATGTTGATGTAGTAAGCACCCTATGTAAATTAATCAATCTGGTAACACCTGAAATGAAGTTCCTAAGTCAAGACAACTTCATAACAGAGGCCCAGGGAGGTAGCATTTATATGCAGGAGATGGTATGTTCAGATGACATGTTTGCATAAATAGACAGACACTACTTCTCTAATGGTTTAAGAAGTCCCTGGATGCTTCTCCACTTTCAGCAGCAAAGGAGAGGTCCAAAGGAAAGCCCTCTACTTGTAGTCAAAAAAACAGAGGGACAAAAGATGGTGGTGCCATACCATGCAGTAAGAGGCCAGCAGGTAGCCAAGCAGTGGTGGTGCATGCCTTTAATCCCAGCACTTTGTAGGCAAAGGCAGATAAATCTCTATGAGTTCAAGACCAGCCTGGTCTACAGAGTGAGTTCCAGGACAACCAAGGCTGTTACACAGAGAAACCCTGTCTCAACAAACAAACAAACATAAGCCAGGAGGTACTCTAATAAAAATCGAAGACTGTTCAGTTTTCACCCTAATGATAAGACTTGCTTTCTACTACTCCCAGCTACCAACATCCTTGGTCACTGAGAAGAATGATTTCTGAAACAGACCCCACTCTGAGTTGTCATCAGAGTCTCCTGATCTGGAATAGTTCAGAGCCATACTCTGCTCTCTGTATCAACCGCTTCTGCTCTAAAACTGTGCATCAGAAAGCAGAGAGAGGAGATGAATACGTTGTATCAAAGATAATCTGGGGGTTGATAAACAGAGTCTACAGTCCTTTACTTTAGGAGGACTTCCATTGCTTAAGTTACTGCTAATAAGGCCAGTCCACTCTATTCTATGGGGCCATACATAGTAAGCTGAAAACCAGCATATAAAGCATGACCCATCATTGAAAGAGAACCATGTGCTATGTGCAAGATGATTTAGCAAAAGACTTAAGGAAGCACAGAGCATCACACTTTGAAACTTATACCATCAAATCCCTTTCAATTTCTTCATACAGTCCAGATATCCGTTCGTCCCTCTCAGCACTGGCAGAATTTGCATCTTCAAGCATCTTCTGCCACATTTTAAAGTACTTGTCATCAAGCTCTCGATAAGCAATTGCCAAGGTTCGGAGGCCTTCCCCTGCAAATTCCTATGAGAGAAGATGTAATCTTAGGGACAGGTAGACAACAATAAGCACAATGAAAGTCCCCACAACACGGTGACAGTTTCATTCACACATTTTGTCTAAAGAGCTGTCCCTTTTGGGGCTATGGGAAAGAATAGTTGTGGTTTATGTTAAGTCTATGGGGTTTGACCTGCAGGACACTAGCTTTCCCCCTAAAATCAGCCAAAAGTGCCTGCTGAAGTGTCCTAATTAGGAAGAGAGAGTTGGTGTTGAATGCAACTCTATCTGTAGGTTGGAAGCAAGTGTTCTCTGCCTGTAGGAGGTGTTCCTGTCCCTGTGACGAAGGCAGGTCTTTGGAGGAGTCACAGCTCGCCTGGCAAAAAGAGGAAGTTCTTTTGTGAACTAGAGCAGGCTCTCTCTCCAAGCCTTTCTACACACACCCAATACTTATGCATCCTTGCTGAAAATTCAATGAGTCCAACTTTTGCATATACTTGAAAACTTCCACAATAGAAGCTAAAAGCAATAGCCGATGAATAAGTCAATTATAAATAGTTGAGTAAGAGAAGTCTGGTTTGCTCCTTGTGGTTATGATAACCACCTTTAAAGGAAAAGGAAGAGAAAGGGATAAAAGGTACTACAAGTGTAAGCTTTCAGGGATGACTTTGGTCTTTAACTCTAGACTCGTCTGTGAAATGTTTTTCATTTTTAATTATGTTAAAGTTTCATCTTTAATAATAAAAAGTTGTTTGAAATCTTGAAGACACCATCATCAAATCAGACCAGCTCAAACATTCATTATTTGTTAGAAATTATATTTTATGGAGTGAGTTTTTAATAAGTAATCAAATATTAGGAGGCCATACTTTTCCTAAGTTAGCATAATTGTCAACTTGGCACAGACTAGACTTATCTAAGAGGAAATACTCAGCTGAAGAATTGCCTGGATCAAACTGGCCTTGGATATATCTATAGGAAATTGTCTTGATTATTAACCAAGGCAGGAGAGCCCTGCCAACTGTGGACAGTGTCATCCCTAGGCAGGTAGTTCTGGGTTATGTAAGAAAGCATGAGCCTGTGAGTGAGTGAGCTAGAGAGGGATCCAACAAGCAGTGGTTGAGGTTCTTGCCTTGAATTCTTGCCCTGTTATCTTCAGTGATGGACTGTGATCCAGAAATAAAAGCCAAATAAACTAGAACTCTTGGTAAGCAGACAATCTCATATGACACTTCTGGTACTTTTATCCTAAGAGGGGTGATGGGTAGGGGATTAGTGGCTGCTCTGTGTCTCAAACAGCTACATTAACTAGAAACACAAGTAGACTGAGTTTGGGAGTAATGTTGAAAACCTCACACGTCACTTCTGCCTCCAAACTACAAGTAAAGCATTTTAATAGCCATCTCTGCTCCTTCTGGCACTGCTGGTCGTTAAGCATGGTTTCTCTATTGTTCTGATGTATGGTGCAGATATGTGCTAAATCATAAAGCATACTAAATAGTAAAAAGAAAATGCAGTGCATGGTACAAAGATGTGCTTTGACCAAAAAAGACCACAAAGAACATTAACTGAATTCATCACCAGGCAGTTGGTAGGAGTTGGGACATTGCATTCACATTTAGAAACCATCTCTTCTAAGACCACTGCATTCCCTTTTGGTCTGGAAATCTAGTTACTGCCTTTAAACCATTTTTTGTCTTCTCAAGTCGCACAGACATATCTTTGCCTTTAACATGAAACCCACTGTGCATTGCCACTGACTCCCTCTCTGTTCTGCATAATGGTGAATCAATTCTAAGAGGACACCAGAAAAGGGGACAAATGACTTAAGTCATCTAATCAGTGAAACACACATTTAATGCAAGATTTGAACAAGGCCTTTTACTATCATAAAACCATCCAAAATCAGTAATTAAATACAAATTTAAAAGCGTAGAATGTAGAAGCCAAAGGAATATGAATGTGGAGAAGAGCAGGTCCCACACTGATCCTTCCTAAAAACAATTCTTTAATATAAAAGGAAACTATCTAGTGTCTTGGCATTTGAGCAATGACAAAATCATATAGTCATTACTTCAATATTGTTTTAATAACAAGAAACCTAGAAGACCATTTCAGTCTCTGGAAAACATTAATAGAAAAATCAAGAATGCTCTATTAAAAATGAAAAATAGTTATGTTTATAACAATTATTACTAAACCATCACTTTTAGACTTAAAGTCAGCGGAGCATTTACATTTTATGTTTTTAGAGGACTTGAGGGGACGTTTTATAATGAAAACAATATCCAACAAAGAATTTTGAACCATTCCCTGCAACATTCACAGGGGTCAACCAGAACCTCAAATAAATTATTAACATGACACTAAGATAACAAGTTTAAACCCAACATGTCCCTATTATTTCATAGCCCCTTGCCCTTGAGAGAAGAACAAAGGAACTCCCTTCAGAAAGTTACTGAAAAAAATTAGACGAGTCTTAGAATGTGTGGGTTGAGCTTCCAGGGCACATAAGGGACTCACAAATTGTAGCCTGAATTAAAGATGTCTTAAAGGGAAAGTTGGCTCCAAAGATCATTTTCCTTCCTTTACCTTAGAAACATAGCCATAAAATACGAGCCCTGAAGGACCCTGAGCTCATGACACTATGTGGCTCTCTCGGCTGGGATAATCTGCCTGTGCTGATGATTGCTAGCCTGTTCCCAGACCATCACGGACTGCCCTCTGTAGGATGTCTCCCCAGCGGACTTCCATTTCAGAAGTCAGTTCGTTTGCTGATGTTTGTTAGCAAGTCTTACATCGAGATATAAGAGCAGCTCCTGTGCTGAACTCGACACAGGGCACTTACACTGAGATGGTCTGATGTTACAGACAGCAGGTCTTCATTGGAAGGATGGAGTTTTTCAAACAAAATAGTATCTGCTCCTTTGGAATAAAGTTTTATCTGTCCTTCTGGGTTTCGAACTGAAAAGTAACAGAGTTTGGAAAAGTAGATTATATCACTGAAATCTGTGAAAACTAGCCCATCTGGAAATGGACATAAGGTTTCTGCCAAGACCAAAGCAGGGTCTTTGGCTAGACAATCACTGCTTAAGTCAGTTGCCTTTATTCTTATTCAATTAACTAAAAAATATTCAATTAATTAAAAAATATTCCTTCCACTGGAAGTTTTTGATTTCCCAAACTCAGAAACAAGTATTTTTTAGTTTGATATACATGGCCTAGCTTACTATTGCAAAATAGCTGGAAGGTTTACATTAAGCCATATGGATTAAAAAGAATTAAGGGCTGCTTTGGAAAGTTCTTGGTGTGGAATTCAAGACCTTCTGTTCAAATACATCACAGTTACACCAACCCGTTCCCTCCTGGAATTCCAGCCACTCATGTTCATACCATCTTCATAGAGATCATTTTCTCTGTCATTTGAAGAATTAAAAGGCAGCAAAAATCACAGAGCAAGCAGAATCAAGCAGTGAAGACTTTTATTAGAAGGAAGAACAGAGAGAGAGAGAGAGAGAGAGAGAGAGAGAGAGAGAGAGAGAGAGA